GTTGTTCACCCACATCAGGGCTATCAGGGGATGTGATTTTTATTGGGATATGTGGTGTTTTGGGGTGTTTTCCAGACTTTGGAAAAATGTATGTTTTTTTCTGCTTAGAATTAATTGAGTTAGTCCATTGTCTCTGTTAATTGTATCACAGGCAGAGGGGAGGGGGTGTGTACACTGTATGGGAGTTTCTGAATGTAAACCTCTGTTTTTATTGACTTGTATGTTTTGTATTTGGTGCCCAACTATGTCCACCTGGGCGTCACCTTTGCGGTAAAACTTGTACAAAAGACCAGAGTGTGCCATTAAACTTTCTGTTCCTGATTTACCCTCAGTCTCTTATTGGGGGAAACTGCTACAAGGGATTTCTTTGCTCTTCATACTCCCTTGAATAATCACTAGCTCTTGTAAGAGCTGTTCCTGCTTTGCTCTCTGGAGGAAGAGAGGTTCACCCACTGGAACCTGGAGCTTTGTTGTAGGTCCAGGGTGGGTAGGAGACGGCGAGACCCCAACTAAGCTGCGGTGGTTCGTGGGGTCTGCAGTACTTATGGTGTCTGGAGAAGTGCTTGGAGCCCTCGGTAAGCACTAGGAGCATCCGTCGGCGGAGGTACCCAACCGGGGTACAGGAAGCTATGTTACACTATATATTTCAGAATGTCTCAGATCCCAGAGGATGGTGACAACATGTTAATCCCCAGCACTCCTGTCAGGTCCGCTACATCTACACTTAAAGATGATACCAGTAGCCCTGCATCTATCAGGTCATGAACCATTCCTCGCATCACAGCTGAACTACGTAGATACAACATCCCTTTCCCAGCAACAGCCATGAAAGCTGAGCTGTTCAGGCTCATGTGGACCAATACTGATAATACAGACACTGGGGAAGGCACAAGTAGCTTAAGCAACACCGATCTCCATGCGATGATATCGTCACTAGTGTCCTCCATGGGGAAAATAAATGATAGTCTGGAAAGGTTAGAAGCTCGTAGTTTTCCATACCAACAGGGTCCCTCGCTGCAGAACTCCCAGGCCCGTCCCAGACACAGCCAGGTAATGGTGTATCCTCAAGTTCAGGCGCACATGTTGTTAACCTAATACACATGGTGCCTGCGAATCTCAAAAAGAGATCCTGGAGAGCAAAGATGTTAATCTTGTCTCCCTCCTGATTGCCTCACAGGATGTCGTAGAGAATCGCATGTACGCATACAGGGATATATCGATTGTACTGAAATCTAGGGATCCGAAACTCAGCAAAAAATTGTCTATTCCTGATTTCCATATTGCTTTTGGGATCTATAGAGATGTTTTATGTCCCGTCTACCCACACAGGAGGGAGGATTTGGATCTCTATATGCACAAGTTGGTGGACTTGGGTAATAAATATGGTGGTATGTCATTTCATGGCCATCCTTTTCAGCGAAGGCGTTTGCAGCTCTGGCCCAGTTCAACATCAGAACATATTAGAGCCAACTGGACACAGAGCTCTTTTGTAGACACTTCGCTGGGCACACCAGCTTGTGCAATTTGTGCATCCACCTCACATTCTTTCATATTTCACCTGACATAGCTATCCCAGGCACTAGAGCAAAGAGTGACAAACCGGTCAAGGACAAGCTTGGTCACCCCATTGTGTACCTTGGTAAAGCGCACATTTGTAATCATTTCAATGAAGGTACATGTGGTTACAGCTCTTGTCGGTTGTTGCATGTTTGTTCTCACTGAGAAATCCATGTGCCCAAATAAAATGCATTCCAAACCTTATTTGACCTCGCTAAATGTTGGTGTACTTTCTAGTTTTCTGTCCACACATCCTTCCACACAACTAGTTGAATTTTTAATAACAGGTTTATGACATGGTTTCCATATGGACATTATTCACATGCAAGCAGGTATAGTAGGGTGCAACAACCTTCAATCAGCCACGGCTGATATTGAATCGGTAGATATACTGTTACAACAAGAATTTGGCCAAAGGTTCTTATTAGGGCCTTTTAAGGAACATCCATTTTCCAACCCTATTGGTCTGGTCACCAGAAAGAACTCGGCAAAACAGAGATTGATCATAGATCTCTCTGCACCACACTCCTCTGTAGTCCCTAGTCTTAAGTCTTAAGATTCCTTCAGAAGTATACAACAATTGACAATGCCATGGATGCGATCATTACAGCAGGCATAGGGGCCTGGCTTAACAAAACCGACTTTGTTAATGCTTTTCAGTTGTTATCCGTTCACCCATCTTTATGGCATCTCCATATCAAATGGAATGGCCTGTACTATTTTACACAAGGCTTACCTTTGAATCAAAAAGCAGTCCTAAAATAATATTCGCAGAGACCTTGTGTTGGCTCCTCATGAATACATGCCATTGCCATACAGTAATCCACTATCTGGACGATTTTCTATTTATTGAAAGCAATTTCCCAAGCAATCTATGTAAAGCAATTAAACTATTCAAGACATTAGGGGTTCCAGTCTCTCCCAAAAAAACAGAAGGTCCTGACACCATCATTTCCTGGGCGTTCAAATTAATTCTGTGGCTATGGTAGCCAGCCTCCCGCAAGATAAAGTCAATACCATCCTTCAAAGTATCAACCAATATATTTAAATCGGTTCCTGTAACCGCAAGGAGTTACAATCTCTGCTAGGCTCCCTTAATTTTGAGATGAGAATCATCCCGCAAGGTAGAGCCTTCATTTCTTGACTCCTTAGTCTACTCCCAGAATATTAAAACGACAGCAGTCGTATATCCCTCAACTCACAATCTACCGCTGACCTTCTCATGTGGTGCACATTTCTATTACAATGGAATAGGAAAAGTTTCTCGTACAGTTATCTGTTCATTCCCCCATACAGATGCAGCAGCTACCACTTGGTTTGCAGCCATTTTTGGCAACAATTGGCTCTGGGGTAGTTGGCCAGAGGAAGTACGGGTAATAGAAGGGTTTTCTTGCAACTCAGCCTTGTTTGAAGTGTATCCTATAGTAGCTGCAGCAGTGGTTTGGGGCCCTTTGTTGGCCAGCTGTACAGTCCAGTGTTTTTCCGACAAGCAAGCAATTTGCCATGTTATTAACAAAGGGCGTTCATCTTCACTGACCATCATGAGGTTTATCAGGAAACTGACTTGGTTAGCAGCTTGCAATCAATTCTACTTGGTTTGTAGTCATGTCCCAGGAGTTTTCAGTACCGTAGCTGATGAATTGTCTCGTTTTCAATTCAAGGCATTCCGAGCAACCCTACCTACTGCCTCACATCTAGCCACAACCGCCACAACCCACAACCATAATCTTAAGCTTATCTTATAGAATAGCAATTGTGAACCAGTGTGATGGTTAAGCGCTTATTAAAAAAAAAAATTATATCGGTGATTTTAAGTGCAAAAATGGAAAATAAAGGTATGATATTTCTTGTATACCTTCAGCTTTTTATCCTATATTGAGGTCCTAGTGGTCAGTATGTAGTTCCTTAAAAACATAAATACAAAAACAATTTCCTAGTGTAAACTGTAAAATATATAGTGGAAAAAGGTAGAGTAAATTCCCCACTCACACTTTTAAGAGCTAAAGGGTTAAGCTCAGTTAGTGCGCTCTTAGGGTCCGTAGAGGCGACCCTCTTCCTTGTTTAGGTTGTGTGCTTTACTCCTTTGTCCTATATGGCAGATGGAAAAAAGCGCATATGTTAAATAATGTAGATCTTATTTTATAAAGGTGGTAAGGTAAATAGGGTACTGTTATGTTACTAGGGTTTTCAGAATTGGAACTCAACTGCAGCTTGTGGAACTCCTTAATTACGTTAGTGAAGAAACGGAGAATCTTTAAATTATCAATACTGAAGCTTTAAGAAAAGAGAGGATTGCTGGCAATTAGAGAATCAAACGAAGTTTTAATGATTGTGATAAACTTAAGTGAAAAGCATATAGGTAATAATTCAATAAGAAGAAATTGCTGGTTATAGCAAACAATACAAAGTTCATCAATAAGTATTTCCTCAGAGATGTATTGAATAATATTCTTTAGATTGATAGGAATAATCTTCAATAGAATTAGTATGCAGGTAGCAGAGAATATTTGCAAAGCAAGAAACAGTTCATAGTGGTTAAGCTTGATGGGAGTTATCCTCAATATAATTAATGTATATGCAGCAGAGAAGATTTAAGCAAACAAGAAACAGTTCATTAATAACTGAGATTCCAGATAATAAATTGGAAGTTATACTTAAGATTAATGTGAGTTGTCCTCCAAGAGATCAGTATTAGAGTCCACTTGTTAAATGGTAAAGTGTCCGTTCTCCAGTAATCCTCTAGCGCAGGGGTTCTCAACGTTAGTCCTCAGGACCCCCTACCAGTCCAGGGTTTAGGGATTACCTGGGTGTGTCTAAGGTGTTTAGAAAAAGAAAAAATAAACACCTTAGAGTCTAAGGTGTTTTTTTCCCTTTTTCTAAACACCTGAGACACACCCAGGTAATCCCCAAATCCTGGACTGGTAGGGGGTCCTGAGGACTGGGTTGAGAACCCCTGCTCTAGCGGATGAAGCATAATCCTTTTATCTTCAAAGATTTAGGAAGGCTTGTGAGAGAAGCTTGTGGAGCCGGCGTCTATACCCGGAAGTAGGTCCCACAATCACCAAGTGCTTTCCCTCTGGCGCGGTCTCTCTAAGTAGTGTCAGAGAGCCGCGTCAGAAGGGGCGGGGCCAGCTCTGCATAGCGGAAATGCCGACCCGAACAGATACGGCATGACTGGTACTTACAAACCCAGAGCCTTCCAAATATGCTCAAATGTAGTGGCGTATGTGGTGTGATCCTTGTCAGCAGGTAGCACGGTCCTCTAGGGCAAAAACATGCACAGTCTTTTAATGCAACTTCATTCCAGGCACTTTATTTGTAGGTTCACACAGGATACAGCAGTAAATAAAATCATAAATGTAACACAAAACCCTATAAACAAAAACCTAGCTCGTCTGAGCACTAACTGACATTAGGTTCCCTATCTCTCAGGGTTAAACTAAACAAAATAATATTGCACCAACCTTATTAGATAGCAACACTCTGCTAGCTAGCCTGTTGCTTTTCTTTCTCCACTCCCAGTGCTCCAAACCAGCCTTGCCCTGACTGCTTTCCTTTCTGCACTCCCAGTGCTCCAAGCCAGCCTTGCCCTGACTGCTTTCCTTTCTGCACTCCCAGTGCTCCAAGCCAGCCTTGACTGTTTCCTCCTGCACTCCCAGTGCTCCAAGCCAGCCTTGACTGCTTCCTTTCTACACTCCCAGTGCCTAGTCTCCTTGACTCTCTATCTGGAGAGAACAGCCTCTCTCCTACCTGCTTCCTGGGAGGAAGCCAGCAATCCCTCTCCTTCACCTGCCTAGCAGGGAGGAGTTTATTCCCACTGCAACAGCTCATTAACTGCAGCTGAGCAGTGGGTTGGAGATGGTCCAAAAAACCCTGGCCTGGATCTATGTCTCCCCAGAAAACCACTAAACTGTGGAATGGAGCATTGGCCCACCCTTCTCTCCAAATGCTCCACCCCAGGGGCCCATAACTTAACAAAGCTTTGGGTTGTGCAACACACAAACTACACGTACTTCCCCTGGGGTTAAAAGGCCTATCTGCCTTCACTTTATCACAGTGGTTAAGGACCACACTCCTTCTTTCAAGATATAGCAGGAAAAATGCCAATAACAAGTAGTAAAGTTGTAAAAATATATATACTTTATTATAAAACTATATAAAAAAAATATATAAAAAATATATTAAAATAACAACACTATATTGGCAAAAAAAGTTCAGTATTCTGATTTTATGTCTCACAGTTTCTCTAGGACGCGTTTCGCCGTGTAGGCTTCCTGAGCTGGATAGAAAAGTCTTTGTAGATCCTCATTGAACTAGTTCTTGCCATATATACCCCTCTCAGGGGTGGATGATTGATTTCAGTCTTTGAATTTTTCGCGGGCTGTCACCATGGTAACGGTGACGCCCTGCGTTTCAAGCCTCCCTTTTTTTCAGTTACTTCCTTGTTCATGTGATGATTACTTCAATTCCGGTTTATGAGTTCCGGCGTGCGGTTCAGTTGATCTCCTCATGCTCCATTTCCAGGCCAGCATCATCGGAACCGAAGAGAAATTATGTGTCAGTATCTTCAAGTTCCATTTTACACATTGGATCTTTCTAACATTATTCACACATTGGATCTTTCTAACATTGTCTACTGTTACATTTTATTATTTATTTGGACTAAATTACATCAATAAACTTTATTTAGAACTCCATGTGTTTTTTCTTCCATATTCTGAATAAACTTAAATCGAATCGTAAGTGTATATTAAGTTCGTGAGGGGATATTTGAAACCACATACATCGATATTTTATCTTGGTGTTATGCCCAGATTTTTATCCAGCATAATGCTCTTATATTTACGCTCTATTTATTTCTTATATCACTTATTAATATTGTGACGAGACCAATCTCGCCACATTACATTGGAGAAGCCTGGTTGCTCGCCTGTTGCCTTTGGATTATGGTCCCATGTTAAAAGACTTCTTTTCCCCTGCAGAAAAGGCTTATTCGTGCCTTTCTGCCCGGCGGTCGGTAGATTCAATCTACCGAACTAGCGCACGAATGACTGGACCACCTGGGAGCTGGAGTGTGTCAGCAATTAACCTCCCAGAAGCTGCGGTTAACCGCAGCTTAATTGACAAATGCTGGGTGGCCACCATTCGTATACTGAACACGAGGTCGCAGCCATTTTAAACACGCGAACGCACAGTGGTGTTCGACGCCCAACTCATGCAACTGAAAATGGATACATTTTGGCACGAACACCGCTGAAGCCGCTGACCTCCCTTCTTGTTCGGTAGTCGTGCACGAACGGCCCTATATTCGGTAGTTTGGACCTGAATACACCATACCCCAGATATGAATCCCGTGGAGCTCATTCGTATTAAAACTGACTTTGTGAACACTTTGGCTCCACCGCAATTGGACTGTGTGCATAGGATCTGAGCGCTATTCGGTACTTTGGTGCGCTCAGATCCTAGCTACCTCTGGACATGTTGAATGCTTGTCCCCTAGGGGAGTGTCCACCAGGTGGGAGACCTGCATAAATACTGGGCAGGTAGCTCTCATTAAACAGACCACTGCTTGACCCTCAACACGGAGCTCTGTCTCGTTCTTGGGGGGATTTACTGTATGCTGATAGAGACTGATTGCTAGGAGTGTAAGCCGCTTGGGTGCTTTTCTTATTCGTCTGTTAGCAGCTATTCATGAGGTTCCAGTTCGGGAGTTTGGAGTGCTATTTTATATGCAGTTCAGGAGTTTGAAGCATTCCCTTGTATGCAGTTCGGGAGTTTGGTGTTCTGCAGTAGCTGTGCCTGTATCTCTGGAAGGGGAAGATCGACTAAACGGCGGTTTAACCCTTTTATGCTGAGGGTGCCGTTACAAATATGATCACATTTGCAAAAAGATCTTCAAGTATACCATACTTCTCTAACAGGTTATTTCACAGACGAAGGAAATCATATTATATACAAGGAAAATGTGTACGGTAGTTAGCGTTATAAACTTTTTTTAAAATTGGGTAATAATCATATATTGACACTGCCCATTAGGAAATACTTTTACATCTCTAGCAAGTTGCTTAACTAGTACAGGTATTAGTATTTGCAGAAAAGAAAATTTCAGACCTAAAAAGGAATCTAAAATACATTCTCACTACCTTATAGGGCCTTATTTTTGTTGTTAAACTATTTCATCTTTGATTTAGTATGTTTATCTCCGGTATTTCCAAATTCATATCACATTTCTTACAACATATGTCTAAGAAGGTATAAGGGAATCTCTTACATAAGAAGCTTCATTTTCTGTGTATCAAAAGTTCGTAGGACACATTTTTAGTAATAGACCAAAAGTATATAATAGATCGAGGAATTATCATTTTCTGTCTGTATAGAGCTTCATATTCTTCATATAAGAGTCCATAAAACCACAACATATTTTTTATATGGTCTTCCCAGAATATAATAGAAACTCTTTAATCCCTTTAGGATACATGACATGTGTGACATGTCATGATTCCCTTTTATTCCAGAAGTTTGGTCTTTAAGGGGTTAAATATATCATACATATAATCAAACTTGCGAGCTAAAGCGGTACTATTAACACTATACCCTCCGTAGAACCTCAAAAAGACATATGCTTATTTAAAATTTAACTCCTAGACATACCTGTCTTAGAATATTCCTTTAAAACAAAAAATTCCTACATGTGTCTAAAAAAGGAATGTCAGGATTCTTATATATAAAAGAAGTTGAATTTTCCATATCTAGAGGAATCATAGAATTTATTTACAGTAGATGATTAAAAACATATATATAAAGAATATATTGGGATTTCATATGTATATGGAGCTTCCTATTCTTCATATTCTTCATATCCTTCATATATAGAAACCATAACACTAAAACATATTTTTTGTAATCGTCTGAGAGTATATTTACTACTATTTAAATTTCTCTTACATATAGTCAAATTTGCAAGTTAGAGCGGTACTACAAAAAGTATATCCTCCATAAAAAAAGATTTGTGAAAGATTTTATATTTCTTTTCTTGTTGGTAGTTCTTTTATAAGCCAAACATTGGCCACATCCAAAGAATCCCTTATCAGAGTTTAAAAAAGTATTACCTGTTTTTTTTTCTTTAATAAAAATTTACGTTAACGTGGTGCATAAATTTTAACTCCTCTATGTACAAAACGTGGTTTCTCAGTCAACATTTTTTTTGCTATAGGGTCTTCTAGCAAAACTGGCCAGAACCTTGAGACTATTTTCCTCACTTTATGATTGTCTGTACTAAAATTACATAAATATGGAATATCTTTCATCTCGTTTTCCTTTTTATCTTTGTATTTCGTGAGGGTACTTCTTTCAATTTCTTTAATTTTCTTTCTAGCTTTTTCTAATTTGTGTTCATCATATCCTTTCTCCAGGAAGTCTTGTTTAATTTTGTCTGATTGAATTTCAAAAGTACCTACATCTTTACAGTTACGGTGGATTCTTAGAAATTGGCCTCTGGGGGCATTTTCAAGCCAGGGTGAGAAGCGACAGCTCTCTCTTCCTATATAGTTGTTTGCTTCAACAGTCTTAAAATGATTCTTTGTTTTGATCTGATTTCTCTCAATATATATATCCAAATCTAAAAAAGTAACTTCTGATTTGCTCCAATTGCTAGTTAATTTGATCCCCCATGTATTTTTGTTAAGATAATTAAAAAATTCTATTAGTTCCTCTTCTTCTCCTTTCCAAATAAAGAAAATATCATCAATGTAACGGCCATAGGTGACCAGGTTTTCCACCCAGCCATGCGGTCCATTTATAAAAGAACTTTCCCAATGGGCCATAAATAAATTAGCATAGCTGGGGGCAAACTTGGTCCCCATGGCTGTCCCATTAATTTGGAGGTAACATTTTTCACCATACCAGAAAAAAATTATTGTTAAGGATCAGATCTATTCCCTCTAAAATATAATACGTTTTGGTGACCGTAAAATCAGAAAAATTATTTTAAAAATATTTAACTGCATTACATCCATATTGATGGGGAATGTTACTATAAAGTGCTGTTACGTCACTAGTGACTAAAAAGTAGTTAGTATTCCATGTACATTCATTTAAAAGGTTAAGAACTGTAATAGTATCCTTTATATAAGATGTGGTATTTTTTACTAGTGGTTGTAGGTGAATATCTACATAGTGGGATAATCTGCTAGATATAGAGTCTATGTCCACCACTATCGGTCTCCCTGGGGGGTTATTAATGTTTTTTAGTGATGTACCGAACGGTTCGCCGGCGAACGGTTCCTGGCGAACATAGCATGTTCGCGTTCGCCACGGCGGGCGAACATATGCGCGGTTCGACCCGCCCCCTATTCGTCATCATTGAGTAAACTTTGACCCTGTACCTCACAGTCAGCAGACACATTCCAGCCAATTAGCAGCACAGCCTCCCTAGCAGACCCTCCCACCTACTGGACAGCATCCATTTTAGATTCATTCTCAAGCTGCATGCTTAGTAAGAGGAGGGAAAGTGTAGCTGCTGTTCATAAGATAGGGAAAAGCATAGCTAGGTTAGGGATAAGGGTATGCTTTTTTTGGATTTTTTTTTTCTATGTAATGTAAATGCACTTAGTTGTCTGCCACTGCTGCCAGCTTCTGTGTCAGGCTCACAGTGCCCATTTCCCC